TTCATTCATCTTTTTTATTCAGCCTTGTTTTCTCTTGTGGCAAATATTCTGTAAACTTTGTTTTCTTTTTTTCTTCTGATTCGCACCCTTATTTCACTACATGGCCAGCCTTTGGGCTTCTTAGTGTCACTCTGGATTTTTTTTTTTGCTGAATTTGAGATGTGTGGGCCATGAGAGCCCTTTCCTTCCCTGATTTACAACAGAAACATGGCGTCCTCATCTGCTTCCCCCGTCCTGCACCTTCTTGTAGTCCAGCTCCTGATTTTGCTAGGCTGAGGCTCTGGAGAAGGGACCCAAAGGCCCTGACAATGCCAGTGTTCTCCTTGAGTTCATTTTAGGGACTGTTGGGAACTCCATAAGGACAAGTACTAGGTTGTTTTAGTCTCACCCCAGGGCCTGGCCCAGAGGAAGCGCTTCCCGTACTGGCCTCATGCTTTTTGGAAGAGACGTGACCTCTTAAGGATCTTGGGTCTCTCATCTTCACATTGCCCCTCATGTTGAGGCAGGCTAGAGCTAGGCAAAGTACGGGACTCATAGAAAATACATGACTCAATAGTGTATGTGTGCGTAGGTTGCCCACGCCTGGCACAGGGAGGCTTGGACCACCCTCACCTGGCCTAGTAACCTCCCACGCCCCTCCCCACTCACTGATTATTGGATGGGAATCACCTGGTTCCTCCCTTCCCTTAGCGTAAGTTTTAAAAGCACCCGGAGAAGAGAGAAGCATGCTGTCTCTGCTTTGCAGCTTCCCTAACTTTTGATAGACCCTGTTTACAGCCATGTGTCCTGTGGAGTCTTCCAAGTGGGACACAGGGACTTTGGAAATCTGATCACAGACTGCACCAGTGCCGGTAACAGTGTTAGCAGGGTTCTGGGACTGAACCCCCTGAAGCTGTGGTTTGCAAATGGGGGAGCACTGGGCTCACCTGGAGGCTCATCAGCACTGACTGCGGCTGCACCCCAGAAGTTTCTGACTCACGGTGCTGGGTGGGGACTGAAGCTCTCCGTTTCTGAGCTGTTGTCTGGTTCAGGGACCACACTTTGGGGCCACATTGTGGAAGCAGGTGCCAAGGTATTACGAGTATTTGCCTGGCAAGGGTGCAGGCCAAGCTGGCCTACAGGGCTTTGGCCTCCCCCTCCCCGCCTTGTGAGCGTGGGTTTCCCTTTGTTTGATCTACTGTACAGGGGTGCTTATTTAAAACTTTGCTTCTTACTTGGAAGCTTGACCCCAGATGCCCAGACGTGTTCTGTTTTCCAGTCAGCCATGGTCTTGTAAGCTGGTTGTCTTCATATTCTCATTCTAATAGTTGGAGACATACTTATTTTCTATCTTTAGGTAATTCTTTTCTCTTGTATGTGACACCCACTGATCATCCCTGCCCTTCCCCCTCATCTGGACCCTGGATGCCAAAGGTGACCTTGGTAAGTTTGCGTTTTGAGCCTTGGTTTCCTAGATAGATTTACTTCAGCCACTATCACCAAAGATAAGCTGAACCCACAGTACTGGTACGAATACACTAGGGTTCGCTCTTCTTTGGACTATTCCCCAAGACTTCCCACTGACTCCCGACAGCCTCAGGCTGGCTTCCTTTGTCTCAGGTGCCCTGAAACTAGTGTCACTGTGCAGTGGCAGAAGTGTGATACAATGCCCAGAATCAACTGCTTCATCCTTTCCCTTAATAGGGGATCGTGGCCTGGGCTTCTGGAAGTAAGAGAGACCTTGTGATGGCCGGGGAAACTGAGGCCCAGAGCCAGGAATCAATGTGTCTGAATTCATATGGGGTCAACAGTGGTTGGATCTCAGTTGATAGTGGCAGTTATCTTCCAGCCAAGATTGGTTCTGTCTCACTTTTAGTTTTCAGTTGTCTAGAGTAAATGTGAAATCACTGTGGGCCTTGTGTCCTTGGCTTGAGACAGACTGGTTAGCAGGTGATGGGTAGTCACTGTCTTTGCCTAGCTTTGAGTTTCCTCTCAGTTTTGCTTTGTGAAGGCGTGCTCCTCCCCGCCCTCCCATTCCCACTCTTCCAGGAGCCACTAGATCAGTCATTGTTTGAATGGAGCGTCTCTGCTGTTGTTCTGACTCCTGTTTGTGGCCGCAGTGCTTGGCCTTCTACAGCCCCCAGCCCTGGCAGCTGTAGCACATTGGCCCTTGTGTTTTCATAGCAACAAAAGCACGTGGGGAGCGCGTGCCCTGCACATGCCTTGATCACATATTTATGACTGTAGAGTCCGAGCTGATCGTGACATTCTCATATGGGTTTGGTGTGGCCACTCCCCTTCCCCAAGGGAGAGCACAATTGCTGTATTGTCTGTTGTGTTCTGGGTTAGCTGCGTGGGTCAGAGCAGGGGCTGTTGGTTTACTGGGAATTAGAAATAACCATTTTTGCAGCTTTGTACCCATATGCTACTGTTTTATGAAAGGGAGAGGTTTAGGACACTGTCAGAATCCCCTGTGCCACCTGACTTTGTTCATCTAAGTAAACCACCAGTCCCTGTAACTCAGCTCACTTGTCTGGCATCCTTGGGGAGAGGCAGGCCAGGCTTGGCAGGAGCTAGAGCTAGCAGGGTGGTGTGGCAGAATCTTCTGGGCCTCCTGAGAGGTATTGGCCAGACATTGTGTGCTGCACTTGTTTGGGCATCCAGGGGTCCCTCCCTTCTGCAGCTGAGAGCCCTCAACTCCCAACTCCCCTGGAGCCTGCTGGAGTGTCAGACATGTCACTTAGTGGCTTCCTTTCAGAATGCTCTGACCCAACTCTGTTGAATTTCTACCCATCTGTTAAGATCTAAAACTTATGCTGATTTCTTCAGGAACTCCCAAATCTTCAGCTCTCTTCTTCATGTTACAGGCTCACTCCTCTGTCCTTGGCACTCATCTTTTGATACCAGTTATGCCTAGTGGTAGTCCCATTTGAACATTTGGTGTTTGCACTAACTCGGCTGTGAGCCTGTGCCTTACTCCCTCAGTTCCTAGTGCAACCAGTCCAGTGAGGGTTAGACTTGGGATGGGACTCTGATACCAAGAGAAAATAATGATGAAAGAAACACAGCACAGGGTATGCATGGGAGCCACCTGTTGAAGCCAGCGAGAAAATACTTGGTTCTGTGTAAAAGTCTGTTCTCAACAGCATAGCGTCACATGCACATTTGACCCCCCTGTGACATTTTTGCCCTTTGACCCTCCTCACTCACTGTGGAGGCTTCTGGGTGTTTGGGCCTCCTCATTGCAATAGTCGGGGCTAGCCCTGCTTGAGCTGCCTCACATCAGACCCTGGCTGCAGCTGGCCTCTTTCTTTTGAAAGCAGAACACAGGAAACAAAGCCTTTGGAGCAGGGCTCTGGGCTCCCCACTTGTCTGTGCCAGGGGTGGGGAGTATGCTGCCTTGCCCTTGCTCATGGAGGCTCTGATGGGGGTGTGCTGGGAGTGTGTGAGCATTGTCAGGGGTTTCTTGTCTTCCACAGGTTCTGCTCTGCTGTTACGGAGTCTGGACAGCTTCAGCCCAGCCCTCTGGAGGTGCAAGGCTTTGAATTAGTGTTAGTAACACCATTTCGATAGCAGTGGGAAACACCCCAGACAAGAGATTTTAGTACCTTTGGGCATCAAGGAAGTTGAGACTAAATGTGACAAGTGTGTTGCTTGCTTCAGCAGACGTTTCCTTTGTGCTGGGGACCTGAGAGACTAAGTAAGGTGGGACTCTTGCCTTCAGAAGCTCACAGTCCCTGGTGGTGACAGAAACTCGTGGCTCAAGCTCTGAGTGGTATGGGGCCAAGGGCCTGACTGTGTGGCGTGGGGAGGAAACATGAGCTTGATGACACTTAGTCTGGAGGCCCAAGAGGCTGAGAGGGCAGAGGGGGAGCTGGGAGCAACTTCCAGCCAGTGTGAGTGAAGGTCTGGAGGCATGAAGCAGCCTGGGGCATTTGGAGTATTGCAGGCAGTTTCTGTATTTAAATTGATTCTTAAGTAACAGGCGATACGTGCATGGGACCAGATTCAACAGTGAAAAGCATTTATCTGCGCCTCCTTGTCTTCTGGCTATACATTTCGTCCCCTTCCTGGAGGAACTCCTGGTGCCATGTTCTTGTTTATCCTCCCAGAGGTAGACATGCATAAGCAAGCATATGTGTAACTATATCCGTAGCTCTACCTTATATGCTTCTAAAAATACTTTTTTCGCACAGGCCAATGCCTGCATGTGGTGCAAAAAGGTATTCCTTGGAGTCTCCTCTCATCTCTGTTCCTGGCTCCCCATTCTCCCTTACTGAAGACAATTGATAATAAATTTCTTTGTATCCTTGCAGAGACTTCTGTGTTGTTAGTGCAATCAGTTATCTAGTTTCTCCCAAATGGGAGCGTGCTGTACCCACTTTTTTGGTCTTTGTCTTTTTACTTAGCTATTTTGGAAGGTGTTTTTTCTGTTGGGACATAGCGAGCTCTCATAGTTTTCTGCAAAGCTGTGTTTTGTCCTTGAGGTGAGTGTCAGCATTTATTCATCATGCCCTCCTTGTAGGCATTTGGGATTTTTCCTATCTTGGCCATGCCAATTGGTACACGTTTTTTTGCACATGAACAGATTCTTCGTAGGGTCTTGTGGTTCAAGGGGACAATGTAGAGTGTGACAGTAGAATGGCACTGGGACATGGACAAATTATGTTTTGGGCTCATCTCCAGGTTGAATTGTTTCTCTTTGTGGAAACTGGACTCTGCTGAGTTTTGGAGGAAGCCCCATTACTCCTAGCTGCCTCCTATCAATGACCCCTCTGCAGAAGGGTCCCAGGCCTCAGAGTGGGCTCTCAGAGCGAGGCTTGACCAGGGGTGTGTTGCATATTGCTCAGAGACTTGTGTGGACTTTGACCCTTGGGCCATGAGCAGCAGCAGGCCGGGCAGCTAAGCAGAGCAGCTTGTAGTATGGCTCTGCAGCCCTGCCTGCCGGGGGCCTGCTGCCTGAGGATGCCACTGCCAGGTACTTCTGAGGCTTGTGCCACATGAACATCACAGCTCTAGTCAGTCCTTTGTCAGCTTTATTAATAAATGAAGTAAGCAAGGATCTGTCCAGGCAGACCTGCAATGGTGTGGGAGGAAGGGACACAGGAAGCTTTGCGCCCACCTCACACCCTTGCCATGCAAGTTTCCAAACTTTGGAAAGTCCAGTTATGGCACACTAGTTGTTTTTAAACATATATTCTTCCTCTTAGTGTTTGATTTTACTTTTTACTTCACTCATGGATCAGGTATTAGTAGTTTTCACTTCCTTGGGAGCAGGAACTGCTGTAGCTTCTGACTGTTTGTATCTTCCACCCCATGTGATCTTGACAGGCACAAAGCACTCACTCAGTAAGCTAAATGAATGGATACAACTGCCAGTCACAGAGACTTTTCAGGACTGAGAGTCTGCTGTTAACTGTTCACCCAGGGAACGTCAAACTTGGTTTTTGTGTCCAACTGCCAGGCTCTGACTATGCTAAGACATTTTGTCCATTCTGAGCCTGTGAAAATGCCTCCTTCCCCTCCTTCTAAAACATCATTATTGTTGTTTCTCAGTCTGAGGATGTTGGGCACCTTTGCCACCTCCCTAGTCTGGCTCCTGGTTGAGGTGGCCAGTGTTGGTGGCTTCTGAGAGGTTTCTTCCTGTTGGACGATGACGCCAGGGGAAGGTGCCACTTGGCCTGGAAGGTGCGTGGAGCTTGGAGGCTGGTGTACATGGGCTGCTGACCTAGTGAGTGAGCTTCCTGAGAGCAAGGAAGTCTGCACCAAAACTCGGTTCAGATGGCGCCACTAGGGGGATGATGACAATAATGCAGCAGCTATAGCAGCAGCTGGTGCAGCTGGCAGTCCGTCAAGCACTTTGGGGTATGTTGTGGACAAACAATAGACCAAATTTTTTGTTTCTTCTGGGGCGGAGGCCATTTGTGATGAGGAAGGTGATACTCCCATCTTTGGAAACTGGGTTAACTCTTTCAGGGTCCTAGAGCTGTACAGAGATTGGCCTTGGGGGCCTGGAAAAGTTCACCGAGGCTTCCCAGGGTACCTTGCTTCCAGGCTGGGTCATTTCCTCTTTACTCCCCCCCTCCCCCCAGCTCTGTGCTTTTGCTTTACAGGAGGCCTGGGTGTCATATCCAGAGTGCCTAGAAGGAAGTGGAGAAAAGTTTGCAAATGAGGCCCCACCCCCTTCCCCCATGCCCTGCCAAGAAATAAAACAGAAGCTCAAGACCCAAAGAGCGGCTGCTCCCCAAATTTCTTACATTAATTCCGTGGCCTATTGAGAGTAATTTAAATCCGAATGCCTGGTCTTAACTTTGAATTACGGCTTACTGAAGCCCTTAGAAGGAGTCTCCTTCTCTATCTAAAGAGCCAAGAGTCTGGTGCTATTTTGGTCGGTCTTACAGGCAGATGGCTGACTTTACACATCCAGAGTCCCCCTTTCCCCTGCTTTGGTGCTGTAGCTCATGGCAGGACTGGTTCTTACTGGAGTCAGTCCTGCCCTTCAGAGCCCTCTCTGCCAGTAAGGACCAGATGGACAGCTTTGGCAGTTTGACCTGAGAGGTGCCATGGGTTTGGTTGTACTTGTCATAATGACAGACCTGTTGGGCAGCTCTGAGTCTTTCCACATTTGTTTTGGCAAATGATGGTGTTCTTGAACTTGAATGTGTGTAGAGTTTGCAGTGATGTAGGATAATGGGGAGAAGTCAGGAGGCTTCACGTGTGATTGTTTAGCCTGTCTGATTAATTTCTAAACCAGCCTCTGTAAAATAAATTGCGAGGTATGACTCAATCCAGACCAAGGTGAGGGGAGTCCTGAATGGGAGCCAAGGTCAGGATGTGATCTATGAGTGGGCGATAGATGGGAGACCTGGTGACCCTCATGTCTGCAGTGGTTCCTATAGTGCTCAATGGTCTCTTCCTGTTTCACTTCCAGTGTTCCAGTTGATGGTATGATACTGTTTTGAATGAAACACAGATTTAGCCCCTAAGCCTCTGAGATAAAGAGATCACTACCCCCCACCCCCTGATGTGTCCTAGGTGAGAGTGGCATGGGATGCCACACTGGTAGGAAGGTGGTGTGTGTAGCCTGGGCTGGGGTGGGTCTTCCTGCAGAAAGAAGAGTGTTGCTATGGAAGGGCCCTATGAATCCATGCATGTTTTGTAAAGGAAGAGGACTTTAGCCTGAGACGTGGGCAATGAAGGTGTCAAAACTGGTCAATGGCTAACTTCTTGGTGGTTCTGGAAACTCCTCTAATTTAGAACAGTGCTAGTTTCACCAAAAAGATGCCCAGATGTTGCCATGTGCTCCTGACAGAGCTTGGAACATGCACTTGTGCATAATCCCCCAGCCCATTCCATGAATGTGTAAGAGGGGAAGGTTGGCCCTGCAGTCCCGTCTCTCCCTCCCTCCACCCACCTCAGGCAGATGGTAATGTCATTGTGGCTTCCTGCTCTGGCTTGGCTCTCTGGGAAGTCATACCTGAATCACTATGGCAGTGAGTGAAGATTTGGCCTTTGCTGGGGTCCAGCTTCCTGGGACCTTGAACACAGCAGGTCAGCTCTGAGCAGGACTAGGATAGCCAACCTGCACACAGCTCAGGATAGTAGTTGCTTCAGGACAGGTTGTTCCTGTTGACATATGACAGGTGAGGAAACTGAGGTTCAAAGGGGTACAGTGGTCCTTTTAAAGCAGCAGATTTGTGGCTGCATTTGAACTGTTGTTACTAGTCAGAAACAGAGCTTGTCTGGCCTAGACTCTAATTTGGCAGGTGAGGGAACCAGGCTCAGAGAAGGGAAGTGATTTGGCAGATTAGGTGTTGTTGGTAAGTGTCAGTCATTGCTAGGATCAGAACCCATACCTCCTGAGTCTCAATCTGTTCACCCAAGCCACACAGCCTCGTGTTTGGGTATCTCCACTTTTGGTTTTGTTTTTAATTTTTCTTACCCCTCATGTCTTATTTTTAAATCGTGGTTTGTTGGTTAAATTCGGTATGCTTGTAAGTAGGTCTGACTTAAGTAGGTCTGTTCTTAAGCCTGTTTAGGCTAAGTGGCTTAACAGTACAGTAGATTGTCTCTGTGGCCCCTTACTGTCCTCTCTCCATGCTCTGGTTCTTTGTGCATCCTTTCCCTCACCCTGGTTTGGAAGAGAAGGCAGTCTCTAGTTCCGTGTCCCCGGTAAGTATTAGTTCTTGTCACCTCACGCCCCCCATTTCCTTCCTTTTGAGTCTGTTCTACAAATTGTGGTTTGTAGCGAGCTCTCCTTTTGTACTGTTTGGTGGGCTAAAATGACAGGAACAGTGGTGAGAATTACAGTAGTGCTTATAGGAAACTCATCTTTCACTTATTTCTCATTGGTAAAGGAGTTCTTGACAAGTCATGCATGCAGTTGGCTTCAGTTTCAAGAAACAACATGGGCTGTCTCATTCCCATGTTCAGATTTGTTTTGACTTTGGAGCTCAGCACCTCCATGTCTCTGAATAATGCCATTCCTTCTCATCCCCTCAAATGTTACTTGCTTTAAAAAAGCAGAAAATCCGTACAACACTGGGATAGGGCTGGAAAGTCCTGGGGAACTGAGTCTTGGTTAGGTTCAGCAGCTTATCTTACTGTTGTGTTTTCTCTTTTTTTTCTCTCCATTAAGAGACCCTCATAGGGAACCCTGGGCCACATTGTTTATCAAGGGGGCATGGGTCAGGTCCTGTTCTAGCCACTGCTAGCCTTTCCCCAAATGTGGGCCTCTGATGGTGTTTGGTAACCTGAAGGACCAGGTGGGGGAATATGTATTCATCCTAGGTAGTGAAGAAAGCATTTCCAAAGATGTGCCTTATTCTGGAGTGGGGGACAGGGATGGAGTGTCTAAGGACAGCCGGAAGTATTTGTCACCTGCTTCTCAGTCCCAGGAGTGAGGTGCACCCAGGAGCTCATGCTGTAGCTGTGAAGACAAGATTCTTTTTAGCCCATTTACGAGAATTTAGTAACTGCTTACTCTCTGCTGGGAATCATGCTTTCCTTAGAGATGTCAGTACTTCCAGGGACGTGTTTGCAGTGCCTCCACCTTACAGGACATCAGTTCCTTAACCTTCTTGTACCTGTGATCAGCAGAACAAGGATAGCTTCTTAAATATTACAACAGAAGAAAAGGCACTTAGCAAAGTTAGGTGGCTTGTCCAGAGTCACACATCTCATCTGGAACTGAGCTGGGAAGTGTGGCTTCTGGACTGAAGGCCAGTGCTCTTCCCACTTCTGATAGTGGTGTAGCAGATGGATGCTGATGAGTTCTTGCTTTGGGCAGGCTCTGTGCCAAGGCAGAGAATGACTAAGGTAGGTCTGCAACTAGGCTGCACAACTTAGAGAGGAACTTTGAGAGAAGGTTAGAGCGGGCTGTGGTGGATGTACAGTGGGAGGCAGAGTCTCAGGGAAACTGGTAGATGAACAGATTCTGGCTGGGATAACAACAAGCCAGTGTAACTCCCTCCATACCTAGGAGCATCCTGAGTTTCCTAGGTGACGTTTCACCCTCTTTGTGCACCCTTCTTAGCTGCACATCTGTGCAAATGAGAATGGACAGTGATGGCTTTGTGTCCCACTCCCACCTTCTCCCAGACTCCCCATCTGTCCACTCCCCTTGTCCTCAGGGGTACCCATGGCTCCATGTTTCAACATAAGTTCTGGAAAACTGGTGTTTGGCCTGGAGTTGTTCAGGAAGAGCTGTATTCGAGAGGCAGTGTATTGCAAACTCAGTGTCTGGGCTTTGCTGTTCAAGCATTTAACTGAGAAGTGAAATGTGTGCTTACAAGCTAATCGTGAATCATACAATTCCTGGAATAAAAGGGTAATGACTAAGTTGACCTAAGGCAGAGCCTTTGGAGTTCAGCATATGTGGATTGAGTCTTTGTGCCATATTCACAACTGGGCAACATTGGGCGTGGGCCTCATTTTTCTTTTCTGGAAAATGGAATAACCGCAGTGCCCTTCTGAATGGATGCTCTAAGGATACAGTGAGCAGAGGGCCTGGCTCTGTTGCTGTGGCTATTCCTGCTGAGTTGAAAGGTAGGCACTTTGTCACCCTTATTTCTGCAAGTAGAGACCAAGAAGAACTTGGAATTTTTTTTAATAGGATATCTTTTTTTCCTGGATGCTGCCTCTGTTGCGGAGTTTCCTTAAGTCAGAGACGTTTGGTATTGAGCGTGTCCTTAATGTTAAAGTTAATGACTAAAAGGATTTTATTTGTCTCTGTTTTCCATCTTTTATCAGAGATCTTTAAGTTGTACCCAGAACCCTGTGCTGAGAGACAGTGTTCACTACAGTGGGAAACATAGCTTCTCAGGACCTGTTTTCTGGTTGAAGTTCCAGACTCCTGGAACTGCTTAGTCTGGGAAAGTAGAGCTGGGACAAAGTTCCTAGGTAACTTTTCACTTTACCCCGTCAAAAGCAGATGCAGATGGCTTAGTTACAGAGTCTGCAAGGGAAGGACAGCCTCACGCTGGTTAAATTCTCTACTCTTGGAGGGTCAGGAGGTCACCTGCAGGATGGGCAGGCAACCCTTTTTGTGCTTTTGGTTTGTCACTGAATTTGGCAGAAGACAATGTGACCTCGGGAGAAACGCACTTTCCCAAACGTTCTAAATTTGCTTCAAGACCCTGCCTACACAGGACTCGTGCCACTTAGAAGTGCATAAGACCTTCACAACGACCTTGTGGTCTTGCTGTTGTCCTCCCGTTTCCTTTGCTTAATGGGAGGGGAAGTGGAAGCTCTGAGAGCAATGACTTGCTTGAGCTATCGGGAAAATCACCGTTGGTGTCCAAGTTCATGTTTAGGATTTGTTCAGAGTCCTGTTTTTAAGGCAGTGAAATGTTACTCCTCCAGAAAACCGACATGAGTGGGTAGCACAGACTGAATAAAGACATTAGGAGAAGGAAAAGTGTAACTGTCATGATGATTTCCAGCGTGGTTGGTTTCTTTTTCAGGAAGAGACCTTCAAAATGCATTCTGGAAGCCTCCTGAAGATTCACACAGAATCATAGTTTGCAGAACTTCCTTATTGTATGAATGTATTTGCATGCACTTCTCTTTCGAAATGGATGCCCCAGATGGGGCTCCTTCCCCTTTGTCAGACCACAATGCCATCTCACTAGAACTGTGTTCAAGGGTTACAAACAGATGAATGCTCATTGAAGATTGCAGAACAAAAGCAAGACAATTTTATGTTAGGAATAACTTGTGTGAGGGAGCAAACTGTCCCTGTCCCTATGTTGTCAGACAGCTACCCAAGGAGGCAGGTTAGATTTGAGTGCCACCCTGCCTTGCTAGCTGTCAGATATTGGGCAAATATGTGACTTCTTTTCTTGGAGCCTCAATCTTCCCATCTGGAAAATATGAATGCTCTTAACAGCAGTGGCTAGACATAAGAATGTGAGAGGGTTAAGTAAGAGCCCAAACTATGGTGGATGCTCGGGGGAGAGGTTGGAGGGCTGTGGCCTGAAGTGTGGGGGTAAGGTAGATTCTGGGGCAAGGGTTCCATAGCTCTGGCCGTAGGGCTCTTACCCTGTAGGTTTTGCGTTGGGCACAGTGTGAGAGAGTTTGGTTTTTTTTTGTTGTTGTTGTTTGTTTGTTTTGGTTTTTGATCCAGGGTCTCACTATGTAGTCCAGGCTGGCCTTGAACTCACAGTCCTCCTGACTTGGTCTCCTGGAAGGCTGGGATTACAGGCATGTACCACCATACCTGTCTTGTGGCTGTTCTTCTGAGATTTACCCTTGTGGGGAGGATTTGGGGGTGAGCAGGAGCCTCTGCTGCAATGTTGGCACCCAGGGACCATGAGGGTGGCGGGAGCCTCTGCTGCAATGTTGGCACCCAGGGACCATGAGGGTGGTCAGGAAAGTTGGTTTAAGGAGCAGTGGAAAGTCTGACTTGGCCTTTTGCTCTGTCCGGGGAAATCCTGGTAAAGATGAGTCACTGACTAGGGCTCCTGGCATCAGAGCCAGAGAGCATTGTGTCCTCATGTTTGGATCAAAGGGGACCCCTCCCTCAGACAGTGGGCAGCCCACAGGTGGGAGGAGGCCTCTCTCAGCACTGACAGGGAGTCACAGAGATGGATGCAGAATGAGGGGCTGGATCGTGTTAATGGAGGATTTAAATATAGCCATGGAAACTGCAGAGCCAGTGCTGGGATGACTGGACAGAGAGGTGCTGTCCCCTTGCTCTTTGTGCAGAGGGAACTGGGCATCAATGTCTGGGCCTTTGTTTTGCAGAGCTCTTTTTAACACTTTCTTATTTAAATTTTCCAGGGGCCCCAGGGCAAAAATGTTATTCCCATTTTCAAGATGAGGAAACTGAAGTAAAGGGAATGCTGAGGGTGGGGGCTGGGGCTGCCAATTCCCCAGTGCACCCACTCCCCTGCCCTTCCTCACCTCCCCCCTGCCTCTCCTCACTCCCCCCTGCCTCTCCCTATCACCGCCTCCCTGCCTCTCTGTATCACCTCCCTGGTGCACGCCGTGGGGGATTTTGTTTTTTGTTTTTTTAAATATTCAGTATAATTTACTCTTGGCATTTAAGTCTATGAATTTTAACAAATGTGTACATCAAGTGAGACTTACTTAAAATTTTTTTTATTTTGAGGTCATTTTACATTCGTGTAGTTATAAGAAATAATACAGAAAAATTTGGGGTACTTCTACTCAGTTTTCCCCAACAGTAACCTTTTGCAAAATTAGTGTGACATCAGAAGCAGGATATCCACAGGGAACAGTGACGATTCACAATGTGTTCACCTCTGTTACCTTCTCTACACACACCCCACTGGGGTGCCCTTCAGTTCCATGACTCTCCAATTCTAGTCCCACTCTTCTCCAGCTCTGTTATCTTTGTCATGTCAAGAATGTCATATAAATGGAGTCATATACCAGTGACTCTTTGGGGATTGGCTTCTTTCACTCAGCATAGTTCTTTAGAGGTTTCTTTAGAGGTTTCTCCACATTCTGGTGTGTATTAGAGTCCATTCCTTTTATGGCTGAGTAGTATTCTTTGGTGCAGAGGAACCATGGTTTGTTTGACCATTCACCCGGCAAAGGACATCTGGGTGGTTTCCTGGTCTGGGCTGTTATGAATAAAGCATTTGTGTGCAGGTTTTTGCATGAACATAAGTCTTCATTTCTCTGGGATCAGTGCTAAGGAATGTGATTGCTGGGTTGCTCGAGTGAGTTTCTAAAGGATGCATTTGGCAATTTTTGGAATTTCTTTTTGTGGTACTGGGGTTTGAACTCAGGGCTTTGGGGTGTATTTGGGATAGAGAGATGAGCACCACAGGGAAGCGCAAGCCTGGGTCCACCAGGGTTTAAATCCCAGAACCTAGGCCCTGGTGCATTGCTACATATGGCTGTACAATGGGGACAATTGAACCTTCCTTGTTGCTAGTGTGTGTAAAGTATCAGGTACATAGTAGCGCTAGGGTCAGTCCATTTTCTGCTACTATCATGAAATAATGGTGCCTGGGTAACTTTGTAAAGAAGAGAGGTTTATTGAGCTCACCGTTCTGGGTTCAGGAGCATGGTGCCAGCATCTGCTAAGCTTTGGTGGAAGCCTCAGGGCAGATGGTATTTGTCACATAGTGTATGCAAAAGAGAGACAACACATGGTGGGACAGAAAGCCGGAGTGACTGGTTGAGGCCAGGCTTGTGTTTTTTTATAACATTCTCTCCAGAAAATAACTCAAGGTCCCATGAGACCTACTTTAACCTGCCCTGGAGGGCAGCGCATCCTGCAAGACCTAAGGATCTCCCCCTGAGCCCAATCTTTTAAAGGTCCTACCACCTGTTAACATCACTACACTGGGGACACGAATCCTTCAGAGGTAAACCACAACAATGCCCAAAGAAGCTGTTCTTCGTGTAGGTTCAGAGGAAACCCACCAGGCCAAGCAGGATCTATGCTTAAGAGGTAGCCTCTGGGATTGCCCGCCCCCATGAGATCACCCCGTAATTGTCTTTTCCAAGGCCATACCAGATTCTCTCTGAGAAAACCCTGGCCCTGTTCTTACGGGTCTGTGTCACTGACAGGTGCCACCATTCCCCAGTGAAGTGACCCAGCCCTTGCCATGGATCAAAGGAATCCCAGGGGATTGCAGATTGCGCCAGGCTCTGCTGGTCTGGATTTGCCTCACCAGGTCTGAGAATATGCCATCTTTCAGAAGTTGCTATGATTTACCCAGTTCCAAAAGTGTGTATTGGGCTCTTACCTTGTGCAAAGTAGTTATGGGTGTTGTAAAGGTGCAGAAAAAGTTACAGCTTTTTCTTCTCAAAACTCAAAGCAGCACCTCCTTTGGGAACTCCTTTGGGACCCCCGAGGCTGCAGGGCAAGGTTTGCTCTCAACATGACTTTCAGAGCCTGCTCCAGTGCAGCCTCCACGGTGCACACATGCCCCATGTCATGTTCCCACTGTTTCAGTAGAACTTTTAAAAACCCTCATGCTATTCCTTTGCACACGGCACTGTGATTTATTTCAGCAGTCCCCTGTGATTGAACATCTAGGTTGCCCCCACTCTTGGGCTCTTAGAGTGGTCCTATGTGTCTTTGGTCCCTGTGCCAGAATCTCTTTCAGTGCCCCTTCCCTCTGCCTTCAGTATGGGCAGTGCCTGCTTTGCAGCCTCTTTCCCCAGACCCTGAGGGCAGGCCTGGTGCTGTACCCCTCTCTCCTCCAGGGCCTGTGGTTGTTGCTGACTCCAGGGTACCCAGGAGCTAAGGGTGCTGTGATGCATGTCTGTCACTCCTCATGCTGCCTTTGCCTGTCCTGGTCTCTTGTAGGGGCTACTGTGGGGACAGAGCTGATGACAGCAAGGGAGGCCCCACCACTGCCTTGGTCCAGATTCCTGCTTTGTGCAGAGCTGTGACTGGATGGGCTGATGTGTTTCCATGGCAATAGACTTGTACAGCATCATTCTTACCGGCCTCCCACTGTTTTACCAGAGGGATGGGCCATAATACAGCCAAGCCCCTTGTGGTGGAATTTAAATAAATTTGAGAGGATGATGGCCTGGGTGCCCATTGCGTAGAAAAGGATCTGAACTTGGACTAGCAGAGTGGCTGAGCAGTAGAGCGCCTGCCTAGCAAGTGTGAGGTCCTAAGTTTAAACCCCAGTACTACCAAAAAGGAAGGGAGGGAACGAAGAAAGGAAGAAAGAGGGAGGAATGAATGAATCTGGACTCATGGGCGCCTCTGTGAAACTCGTAGCAGTAACTGCTGTTGACTGAGCACTTCTCACATGAGCCAGGCACTGAGAGAAGGCATGAGCTTTGCTCCCATAGGCTGTAATAACTTGACAAAGCAGGCAGCCTTGTCTATTTTACAGAGAGGGAAACTGGGGCACAGAGAGAGAGAGAGAGAGTGAGTGAGTGTACTTGGCAAAGTTCGCTCAGACAATATATTTCAGGAGCAGGGATCACAACTCAGGTGTGCTTGACTCAGGATTTCAATTTGAAACTCCTGAGCCTATTTGCCTTAGAGAAGAAGAGGGTTGGTGTGGGGAGGTGACCTCCCAGGCTTGTGCCAATGGCTGGCTGCCTTCAAACTGAATTGAGGCTCACACCCAGAAAGATGATGGCTGTCATCAGGCCTCCCCCACTGAGGCGGCACAAAGGGCCCTTTGAAGGGTGAGTCCAGGGCACCCCTCCTGGCCTGCTCCTGAGCCAAGCATGCCCGGGGCCAGCGGGCATTTCTGGCTCAGCTCTTTGGCCAGACCCCAGAGGAGTGGTCTGAAGATCTTTCTTTGAATGGATCACACTTGGTTAGGATGTGCTGCTTCTAGACTGGTGTATTGAAACTGTGTCAGGTCTCCCAGTGCCCTCTGGGACTTCTAGACTCCCTGGGCCTCCCTTCCTGAACAGTCAGCCTTTGAAAATGGATTGATTTCCCTCCTCCCCTTCCCCGATTTTGCACTTTGGATGAACCTTGTTTTCGAAGAACAGTAGAAGGTAATTTTCCTGTGCTTGCCAGCTGGCCTGTAATTGAGCAATTTCAATAACACCCACTGTAAAGTCTAATAGAAGTAAACAGGAAAATATGATTTACAATCTGGATGGCAAGTAAATACCAGGGTGCAATTAATTTTTACACAGAGCAGCAGATTCTAAAGCGTTTTCCTGTGCTGAGCAGTTTGTTTTTAATTACAGATTAGGACCTGCCTTTCTACTTATTTATTGTGATTACCACCATTATTTTCTTGGGTTTTGTTGGTGTTCTTTAAGTCCCTTGTATCTGTGTGACTTTCTCTGAAGGTTTAGCCACAGAAAAGTGGATGAGGAAGTAGGATCAGAGAAATTAACTTGTAAGGAATGGTTTTTCAAACTTGAAGCTTGCACTCTGCTTGGTGGAAAATGATGTTTGGTTGGGGTGGGGGTATTGACAGGCTGTGCACAGCAGTGATGTTGAGGGGTCCTGTCACTGTTGGAAGGTCACTTGGTTTTGTTTTGGTTTGTTCTGGGGAAGAGGACAGAGCTACATAGGCCCTCAGTGTTGCAAATATGTTGATATTCAAACGTGGCACTGCCAAAAATGGACAATGTGTGCTTTTAAATAGACCCTCCTGATTCTTTGGTTGCTGTTGTTCATAAGTGGGTAGAGAAGAGGAGCTGGTCTGCCAATTGTGGGTCTCTTGTGGATACCCCAAGGCTGGCATGGGGGAGGAGTTCTGAGAAGTCTTGGCTTTGGTGACCTCCCACAATGCACTTTCTTTTTTTTTTTTTGCAGTACTGGGGTTCGAACTCAGGGCTTTGCACTTACTAGGCAGATGCTCTACTGCTTAGGCCACATCTCCAGCCCCAGAATGCACTTTTAATAAATAAGGAGGTGGTTTCATTCCCACTGGGTCCCCAGAGCCATTGGGAGTGGGCTGTGCTCTCAGGATGCTGATCTTGCCTATTCTTTGTCTTGCCAGGCTGTTGACCTTGCTTGGTCCTCTCCAAGAAGGGTCTCATTCCAAGGGTGAGTGACTGATGGGGAGCTGTTTCTGCTGACTTCATTCCCTGGAGGTGCCCAAGCATCACTGCTGACCAAGTCTGCCCTCTTGAAGATGGCTCGTGCCTGCCCTGGGATGCAGCCCAGCGCCTAAGGTCCTTACCATGGTGATGATCCTAAGGAGAAACCTCGCCAACCAGGGAGCTGACTCCATCACATGCAGGACTTTCAGCCCTGAACTGGTGAGCACTTACTTAGCAACCTTCATTTCTTTGACCTTAAAGGCCTGATGTGCAGGTGGGCTGTGGACCAGGCATCCAGGCCTAGCAACCTGGGGTCAGAGTACCCCAGAGTAGAGCTCTGTGAGGCATTCCAGGCTGGGACCACAGGGCAAAGGAGCACAGGAAGGAAGTAGCCCCACCCAGGTTAGAGCTGCTCTGGTGAGAGAGGAGGGGAAGACGTCCACCTGGTAGATAACACCAAGTGAGCCCAGCATTCCTTCTGTCTCTGCCCAGCAAGGGAAGGCTGTTTTCAGAAAGGGGATGGTGCTAGAGTGAAGGCCAAGATAAGGCTGAACCTCCGAAGGGCAGTGCAGAGTGAGAGCCACTACCTCGGGAATGTTGAGAGTGGGAGATGACTGGGAAAGAAGGCACCGCCTGGTAGGAAGGTGATAGGCCATGGTAGCAACCACCTGCTGGCTGCCCTCTGACGAAATGGTGGTGGTCTGCGGCTGAGAGACAGCTAACTGGGCCATAGACTGTGAACAGAACCACCTGTTCTGTTCTAAACCCCTTTCCAAGCCCAGACCTCTGAAGTGAGTGGGCCATCCCTGTGGGGAGCAGGAGCCACCTTGGCAGTAAACACCTCAGGACTCTGCAGCTTCTCAGTGTGCTGTCACCTAGGCCTCACCTGGCACCCTTCATGGTCCCCTGGAAGGCCTAAATAGGAGAAGAATCCCTATTAAGACCCTTGGTGGGCTTCTTTTCCCAGTTCTGTGCCAGTGAGCACCATGATGAGAGCAGGCCACTGAGGGCTTTGGCTTTGGGAAAGCCACCGAGGCCTGTACACATCCTGTAGGCCATCACAGAGCTCCTGCCCATGTTGGGCGTAGGCTGGCAGAATTCATCACGACTCCAAACTGGGCTTGTGCTTTCTGCCTTGAGTGGTTCCCAGTCCAGAGGAGCATTGTCTGGACAGGTCTGCATTCAGCCACCCTTCAGGACCCATTAGTACTAACTCATAGCTGAAGCCCAGATGATGAAGTCCAGGCTGTGAGCAGGCTGGCTGGGCTGGAGCATGTCAGGAAAAAGCACACTGAGCAGGGACACTAGATGTGGCCTTGAAGGAGAAGTAGAAGTGCTTTAGAAACTGTTGGGTCCAACCTCCTCATTTTACAAATGCACAGCAGAGACCTGAAGCAGGCCACACTGCCTCACAGGTGCTGTCCCTTACCTCACAGCGGCCCCACCTTCTGGTCTTTGTGCAGGCCTCTTCCCTCAGACTGGTGTCTGGACCCCGGTCTCTGCGACTCCTCCCTGTGCCCCAGCACTACAGGAACAGGGCAGAGAGCAGGCACTCAAGGTGACCTTCGTTGTTGCAGCAGGGAGTGGAGCTGCTACGGCCAGCCAGGTCTTCTGCCATCACTGCATTGTTTTCTTTGTGTTTAATATACATCATCAATTTGATCACTTCTCATCACTCTGCTGGCCTCTCAATGTGAATTCTTATAATGGGTCCCCTGCTTCTAGCTCTCGAAACCTGTCTTCCACTCCTCAGCCAGATGGAACAGCAGTCAGATCTGTCCACCTTTTACTTAGAACCATTCATTGGCTTCCCACCTTCAGTGGAGCACATGCCAGAGCCGTCAGTAGGAAGTACGACACCCATGTAGCCTTGCCTGCCATGCCCACTGTGATCGATCGATCCATCTCCCTGCTGCTCTTCCCACTCACTCTGCTCAGGCCACACTGGCCTGGCTCAGACCTGCTGAGCGTGAGCCTGTCTCAGGGCTTTGCACTTCTTCCATGGTCCGGAACCCTCTCCCCTTGGCATACTCTCCTTCCTTTCTTTCATTCTGTGGCCACTCAGCCTAAAATTGAATCCTATCCCTTTTCCTGCCTTCTAGCCTTTGCCTTCTATCTCCTCCACACATATCTTCTGTCCTCCTTTCTCACCTGTTTTCCTTCCTCGGCTCTTAGCACTGTTTAACAGTTCACTTGTTGGACTTGAGTATCACAAAAGCCGGACATTTATCTCTTTTGCTTGTTGCCACACAACCCAGTACCTAGAACAGGGGCCTAGTGCCTAGCAGGTACTTGGTAAATATTTGTAGAGTGGTTGAGTTTACGGGTGCCCATGGCTCCATGGCTTCTGAGCTTGTCATTGTTTTGGTCCTTCTCTGGCTGCTGCTGTGCTCACAGCTGAATGGGTGCAGATGTGAGTCTCTTTGTTTCATGCTGCTGCTGACTTTCTTTTCCTGGGGAAGTCTGAAGAACACATCTGTAGTAGCTCTGTCAGAAGGAGTGACGCCCAGGTGAGGATCCATTGAGAGGGCCAGAGGGAGGCAGTCTCTGATGAGATTGGGCGTATTCAGGGTGGTATGGCCATAGACAGGCACCCTCTCTGGACCTGGGCTTCTGGCTTCCATGACTTGTCACTGTGCTGTGTCCTGTGTCAGGGAGTGACTGGTTGGTTCCTGGTCCCCTGAGCCCAAGGTCAGTTGAGCTGCTCTTCCAGAAACATGGTTTGAGCCTCTGCCAGGAGCATGGCCTCTGAGCCCTAGCCAGGGAAGGGAAGACTTGTCTCCTCAGGCAGAAGAAAGTTGGGGGTGGCCCAGGGGAGTCTGCTGCCTGTAGTCGTTCCTGTAAGGCTGTGGTCTTCACTTCCTGTTTCTCTTCCCTTCTGGAAGCATGTCCTGGTGTTTTTTGTTGCTGGCTGATCTGGGCCAGAACCACCTGATGCAGTGCTTGGGGCCCATCTTGTCTCCTCCTCCTTTTGACTCCAGTTGGCAGGTCAGTTCCTGGGTGGCCCCTTTGGAGAGGACTCTTCTTGTCTGTTAATTTGTCGACACACCGCACCAATGGTTGGCTACATTCCGGGCCTCACCCAGTTCTGCTTGCATGGTGCAAATGGAAGCACAGTGGGGGCCGTGGAAGGCTGCTGAGTCCAGGGCCTTCCACACCATCTCTGCCTCTCTAACAAACATGGAACTGTGCCTCCAAGGATGTACAGGGTGCAGGGTGCAAAGTTCAAGTCCAGTTAGCTACTTAGCTTCTAGCACCTTCCCACCGGAGCCCAGCATTGGCTCTGGAGGCTGTGGTCATCTTGGCTCCTCTGACCTCAGGGAGAGCTGCTGTGAATAACTGAAGAAAGACCCCAGAAAATCTCAGTCTCGTGACAACCTCCATGGGATAGTACCAAGTTAATTTATGTCAGTGTTTGTTGTGAGCAGCAGCAAAGGTGTAGAGGAAGTTGCTGGGTTTTTGCTTCACATCCTAAACTGGTCACATCATGTAAATACCATCAAGTTAACAGCAGGAGGTAGAAAATAATTTCTTTTATTTCTGTTCAGACCAAGAAGGTAACAGAAAAGCAAGTTTAAGATTAAAAAAGGAATCAATTCTGGGGAGTCTGGGGACAGTGCAGCTCGGGTCACTTTGGGGATCAGGGAGCAGGCTTCTAAGGCACAGACCCCCTCTCTGCGCCTCTTCCTACTCACAGGAGAGAAGGTTTTAGGCCCTGGGCATTTTGGCCTGCTGGAGGAGAGCCCACAGCTGCTGCCTCGAGACCTGGTGAGGAATAAGGGGATGCCTTTGTGTCTGCCCTTCCGGGGCTTCTTGTAATGGCTTTTTTTTTTTTGGTGGGCTGGGGTTTGAACTCAGTGCTTTGTGCTTGTGAAGCAGGCACTCTACCGCTTGAGCCACATCTCTGCTCCATTTTGCTTTAGTTATTTTGGAGATGGGGTCTTGTGAACTATTTCGAAACTAGACTGGTTTCAAACCATGATTCTCCCTATCTCGGACTCCTAAGTAGCTAGGATTACAGGTGTGAGCCTCTGGTGCCTGGCTTTATTCCCCTTTTAAGAAACTAAATGTTGGAGACAATGTGACTGTCCCTACTCTCAAGAAAGGTATAGGAAAAAAAGAAAAAGAACTAACAAACACTTGGCATTTTCCCTTTCTAGGCCTAAGGCCCACTTGCCCAGGAGCAATGGTCTGAGCATACAGGCTGTTCCCATGGCCCTGGCTTAGCTCACACACACGGCAGCCATGACTGTGCTGGGTCCCTTCCCTGCTCTGCTTGGTCACTTTCCTCTGCCGAGCAGGCTCTTCCTCCTTGTGTTCTAACATTAGCTGCTGCCACTGGAAGGCAGCCCAGACATTTGACCCTGGAGCCCTCTGCTCCCCCAGCTCCTTCCCGTACGCCCACATGCAGGCCAAGGGCTTGCTCTCTCGTTTCCACAGTGATTACCCTCCCACACCCCTGTCCTTAGCCAGGCCTGGCCTTCTTTCCCCAGCTAGGCTCCCAAACCTCTCTAGACCAGAGGGGGCTGGCAAGTGGCTGCTCCCAGGCGGGGGGTGGTACATGGCTTCTGGCTGCCTGACTTGCACCACAACAACTCAACAGTCTTTCCTGGAGAGGCTGATCCAGAGGTAGAAGAGGTACTTCTTCCTGCACTTGTCAGATTGGGATGCCAGGCTAAGTTACTTGCCTAGTTGAAGAGTTAGTGGCCATATCTGGCTTTGTGTCCAGCTGCCTAGGTAGTTGAAAGTTGGCACTTTGGCCTTCACAGCCCCAGTCTCTGGCAGGCCATGGGCTGGCTGAAGTTAGGACTGAGAGTCCCCGGAATTCTGGTGCCTTTCACCCAGGGCAGGCAGTCAGATTTCCAGTCTCCCTGTGCCTATGTACCCTGAAGCTTCAGAGTCAGGGCTACCATCAGCATCTTTGAGAGCCTCCCCCAAGGGCCCTGTTCCTTTGTTGCCTTCTCTTTCTCTTCTTAGGCCTGGATCGCTCTTCTGCTTTCTTCCACTGTGGTTTCACTGAGTTCTGTTTCGGAGGCGTGGGTGCCCTGCTTGTTCCCCTGGCGCATGGGTGTGAGTACCTCCCTGTTGAGCTATGGTTGCCTGTAGACTGTGTCAAGACAAGGAAAAAGTGACTTGATTGTTTTAGTCAGTAATCTGCAGAATAGCTGTGTAGACCCAGGGCTAAAGCCTGACATTTTCCGCATGGGCTAGTTCCTCCTTTGGAGCCTTAATTGTGTCTGTATTTAAGTCAGGGCCTCTTTCTTTAATCAGACAGATGGTACTGAAGCCTTGGTTTGATTTCTAGCTTTTGTCTTTCCTATGAGGATCTGATTCTGAGCACCTCGTGATATGAGGAGTCTCACAGGGACCAGGCCCTGCCCTCAGTGGGCTCAGGCACAGAGGCCCTGCAGAGGGAGGGGTAGAAAGAGGAAATGTGCTTTTACCTTCCTTCACTGCAGACCTCAGCTGTCTGCATACTTCTCTGCTGTCCGGATTCCTCTGGGGCTGCTGCACTTTAGCATGAGGAAACTGGTTTGCTCTCTCTGCTGTGGGTATGCAGGGTTCAAAGAGTTGGAAATAGAAAGGTTGGTTTCAGGACTGGCACACGCTGGTGGGAATGTTCTCGCATTCTTAGTAGACTGGGACTAGAAAGGCTCTGCTACCCCAGAGTCAGCAGGAACTCCTGGGTGCTACTTTGTCATTTGAGGTAGGCCCTGGGGAGACCTGCTACTGGTAAGGATGTGCTGGGGCCTCAAACCCTGGGAAACTGTTGGGTACAAGATGTTCTGGCCTTGCTATTGCTGGCCTCAACTCAAAGACTGCTCAGAAAGCAAGATAGGATCCCTGATCCCATCTTCAGGTTTAGCTTGAAACCAGCCAGGGTTCCTAATTGGTAAGTAGCAGAGACCACTTCCGGCCAACTCACATGGAAAAAGAACTCACTTGAGCCGTGGCAGAGAGCTTATGCCCTGGAGAGGAATGGGACGGTCGGGCCCAGACAGGGGCCAGGGCAGGGGAGGGCTTTGGAGGTAGGTGCTCAGGGCAGGCTGAAAACCTCCCTCCAGTGAATTGGCCCTGTGGCCCTGGTCCATGGCCTAGAACTTGCCAATTCAGTGGAGTGAAAAGGCTGTGTGCATTGTCCCACTGACAAGGCAGAGGGTGGCTCTCCTCTTCTTACTGTTTTTGTCTGTAAAGCCCCAAGCTCTCCTTTGTGGCTTCTGCATGCTAGTGGAGCACATACTCTATGCCAACCCTGGTGGACCTCTGTGGTCACCCCTCTGGGTGCCTTCACCCATCTGCCTGGCACAGGGTAAGGGGGGCTGTGCTTCCCCGGTGGGTGTTGTCCTTGTGTCTGGGGCTCTCTGAGTGCTGGGAGCTCATGAAGCAAGGCAGGGGTACATCCAGTTTCTCTCTCTGAGCCCTTCCCCTAGAACAAGGGGCCTGCCTGGCTTCCACAGGCTCTGTGCTTGGCTGTGCGGATGGCACAGCCCCAGAAGCAAGCACTCATGTATTTATCACTCAGTCTTAATCAGGTGGCTTTGGTGTGGCTTATAGCTGTGCATCCTGCAGTGTTAACCTTGTCGTCTGGGAGGGAGGCAGGTGCAACTGTCTTTTTACTCTTTCTAGATATTTCCATGGATGGCTAATAGAGTAGATGGCTGTATCACTTGAAATGCAAAGGGTGACCTGGCCTGATAGTGTAAGGATTATTTTAAACCAAGGAGTGGCCAGAGAAGGGCCACCTCTAAGTCCCTTCTGGTCTTTCAGACCCTGCTCAGGTGTTCCCTAAGAAGCTGACCATGACCTGCACTTTCATCCCACACATATGCCCTGGACCCCACGCCAGCCCCAGTCCCATCTCTCTGTCTGTGTGACTGTGTCCTTCATGAAGTATGAGCCTTCCTTCACCTTTGTGTCCTCATACTGGTCAGGATGGACCCTTAAAAGTCCTATGGGAAAATGCATCACAAATGATGATCGAGTGGAAATGTTCCCAGATGGGGATGAGGTGAGGGTATTGATGCCAGGGACTTGCCACCCTCTTATCTGAGTGGGCCAGGTGTTTCTAGTCAGCTCCACCCTCCTTGCAGGACTTCAGAGCCAGGGCCTGGGTTCCCACCCACCTCTCAGCCTGGAAGCCTTGCCTGTCCCTATTATGAGGGGCTGGCTGAGTCTCCTCTCATGGGGCTCCTCTCCAGCTACAGCACTGTGTGGCAGGCTGTGGCTGGCTTCCACAGGCTCACGAGAGCTACTTGCACCGTCTCATGGTCAGCTTGTAGCACAGACTGCGCTTGAGTAACTGCCAGCTCCTGTTAACCAAGTGAGGGGATAGCTAAATGAGGGAGTGAGGCAGGTGGTTTTTGGAATTCTTGAGATAGACCTTTCTGGGGTCCTTAAGTAGGTGGTCTCCTCACCAATGGTCAGAACAGGCCTCTAGACAGCAGCTAGCACAGGGAACCCCCAGAATTATTCCACATTCAGCTTTCTGGGTAGCCATGGAGCAATTGCCTGGTTTGAGGGCTTATCCGGGGTCCCGTGACCTGTTTTTCACCCATGTTGTTCAGCTGAGGTTAGGTGTGAGCTCTGAGGGGAGATAGAGAGTGCTCACAGTCAAAGCTGTGTTTAAATATGGCAGTGCTCAGGAGTTGAAAGCCATAACTCTGAGGCTGAGAATAAATGGAACCAGTGAGTTTCTGTTTTGTATCATAGAGTATGACTGGAGGCCTTGCTGAAGGCACAAAGCAGCTTCAGAGAATAAGGTGCACTTCCGGAGAGAGGACAGCTGTCCCCATGTCTCACAGGGAGGGGCTTGGAGTGGGAGAGGACCTTCTGCTCTTCACTCCCCGGAGGGCCCTCCTCTCCCCGCCTCTCCCCAGACCCTGGTGAAGTTTGTTCAACTGTTCACCATCACCCTCCCTGTGCTCTCCCTTACATCACGTGTGTGGAGAAATCCCCTCTGTCAGAAGTCAAGGGCTTTACTGTGTGTTTTAAAAGCACTTGGATCCATAACTTACTGGAGACTCAAGACAGAGTCCAGGCCTAGTCCTGCCCAGATGTCTCTTCTTTCCCCTATCTGACACTGACAAAGGGTAGTTCCCTCTGTAATTGTGACTTTAGCAGGAGATCAGTGCAGAGTCATGTGCAAACGTGCTTCTGATGACTTGAAGAGTGAATAGCTTTTCTGGTTGTTTTCAGCACACGCCAAAGAAGATGAGTCAAGGACCTACCCTTTTCTCTTGTGGAATTATGGGTGAGTAGCCACTCGGCGTGGGCCGTTCTCCTCTAGTCCTTCCAGTCAGGTGAGATACTGAAAGAAAGTGATGTCTGCACATGAGTGCCAGAAGAGCACTGAAGAATCTCTTCTGTTATCTTTTAACTGTTTCAGTCCCCAGCAGTGCTGGAATGGACCAGGGGGCTCCTGGGGACAGGCAGTGGTGTATGGTTTACAAATACCATTTCCAACTCTTAACATTCAGAGTTCTGTCTGATTATTAAAGTAATTCATAGTGATTTTTTTTTCACGCAAAAATATACCATAGTTTAGGAAGTGAAAATCTTGTTTTGCTCCAATTCTTAGTGATAGCTACTGTGGATAGTTTTGTTTGTTTTTTTGCATTTTTTTATCATAGCCGAGTCCATGGTGAACATATAATTATATACAACTGTGTTTGTTTGCTTTTTCACATGGAAGTCCCCACAGCAAGAAAATGACTCATTCCTTGCATTTTAATGGTCTGTAGTGCTGTCTTGTGTAGATGTATCAAAATGTCCTGAATGATGGAACTTTTCGTGGTTATTAGGTAAAGGGGCTGTTAAATTTGCTGTCTCAATGAACAGTGACTGTGTGTGAGTCTTTGTCTTTTGGATTGTGGCTTAGGATAGTTCCCAGAAGGGGAGCAGAGAGGCCAGAGGGAAGGGATCTTTTTAAGGTTCTTGCTTCATATTGCCTTCCATTGGTGCCCCATTCTCCTGTGTCTACCCATGTGTGACTTGCTGCTTCTACTGGGGGCAAAGATGACTGTTGATTATGCCAGGTGGGTTTCTGTAACACCCATGAGTCAAAGACATGAGGATGGAGAGCCACCGTGGGTCGCGTGATGCTGTCCTTCCTCTCTTTTCTCAACCCTTTGCCTCCATGTCCAGTGGTTTCCTTTTCTTCTTTCAAGGCACGTCCTGTACATGAGACCATAAGTGAGGAGGATGTTGAGTTGAGCACAGTCACTGTGCCAGGCTCCTTGTTTGCTGCTTCAGGGCCAGGCAGGTGCTCATTCCTAAAGTCCCTTGGAGGCAGAATTGGATCACATGGGGAAGAAGGAAGTCCCATGCCACAGAGCTGGGAGAGCTGAGTGGTCTTTGATACTGCCACCATTTTCCTCCATGCAGAGAAAATGGAGACAGTGAGATCACCAGGCCTTAGTTTACCAAAGGTGTGATACGCTTGAGGCCTGTCCCCACGTGATTAAATACCTCCTTGATGGTTTAGTGGCTTTCAGAAGCCTGCTGCACCACCTGTGACACAACTGAGCTGTGTTTCCTGCCTTCTGTCATGCCAGGAGAGGGGGGCTCCCAGGCATGCCTACTCCACCCCAGACTGCAGCTCCAGCAGAGCAGGCCAGGAGCCGGGGTGTTGGGATGGTGGCCTTGACTTCCAGGCTGTTCCTGCACTAGGCTTCCCTGGTATTTGCACGGTGTTAGATGTGATAAGGTGGACCCTCATGGGTTTGCAACAGTGTTGGGGCTCATACAATCATGCTGAACTTCTAACTTTTCTGAGCCTCAGTTTCTTCATCTGCAAAATGGCAGCACCCATCTTGTAGTCTTCTTGTGAAAATTATGTGACATGATTTTTGTGAAGAGATCAGCACAGAGAGAGCATTCCACAGGAGTAGTTGAAAAGAACTGTGACCTCAGCTGAGGATCCTGCTCTCCACACAAAGGCCTCCATGTCCAATCACAGGGACCACAGTGACTTCCTTTAGAGATGGGGTGTTGCCAAAAGAGCTGACCTGTGGGGGCCAAGACAGAGGTCTGGGGGAGGGAGGCATGTGGGCAGAAGCTCAGGTTGCTCAGGATGGTCCACTTGAGCCTGTGGGGCCCAGCAGCCTATTGTCTATCTGGAGAGGCCTGCTTTCTACCAGGGAGGTCTACGGCATCCGGGAGATACCAGGCTGCATCTCCAGTTCTGGTTTACAGAATGGCCTTTTCAAAAGCCCTGCCCTGATCTCAGGGCCTCCACCCTGCCTCTTTACCACAGGCCCTGCCTGCCTCCTGTTCTGCAGGGCCAGCACCATGACCCTGCCAGCCAGCCAGGCTTGATGCTTGAGGAGAGCTGCACAGGTAGTGGATCAGTGGCTTTCCTGGGCCCTGGCTCTGCCTCTCCCTCTTCCTCTTCCATGTGACTCATCTTTCCACAGCTTAATTCCTTCCTTGGTTTAGGAGAGCCCTGCCTTGTGTGACAGCATGCATTACCAAGGTGCTTCAGGGACTGGTTCTCAAAGATACCGATCGTAAAATTAGCTTGTGCCAGGCACTTAGTGCAGGAGGGAGTGAAAACTCCGAAAGGAGCTTTCTGTCTGGTGGAGAAGAAAGAGTGACAAGTAGTAAATTCCTTGTGGCCTGGTCTGGCTTCCAAAATGAAGGAGGCTGTAGAGCCAGGGGCTCCATCATCCTGTATCTTGGTCTCCTCCTTTGGCAAAGTGTAGGTGTTGTAGGGATTCAAGTACCCCAGAGGTGCTTCCTGCCTCCCTCCCTTCCTTGCACCAGCTGAGGCAGGAGTGGTAGCTGGAAGAGGACCTGTGTAAGTTGGTGGGGGCTCAAATTACATCTCCAGCCGTGAGTGGAGTTTTTATGGCCTCAACTTGCCCTACTGTCACAAACTGGGAGTGCACCCCAGGCAGTGAGATTTCATCTTGGGCGTGCCTGCTTTTCAATAGCAGGGAAGAGAACACCCCGAGGGGCTGGTCAGACTTTTCAAGAGGGTTTTGGGTCCTTCTAGGGCTAGACAATGCTGAGCAAAGATAAAGCACCAAATTGTTATAATCACCAATCCCCAGCCTGTCTCCTAGAGATAAAGGGCTCAAGTGCTGGCCTTGACCGGTGCAGTTCTCCCATGAGAACTGGGGACAGTTGACTCTGGGTTCATTATAACATAATCAAGTGCTCACAACATTTTTTAAACTACCTTATGCTTTGTGATTGAGAGCTAGCTACTAGGCCCCTTTTCACCCTCCATCTCCACTCAAACTTGGGAACTTGATACAAAGAAGTGGTTTTGTACTTTTCCAAAGTAGGGGAGAGGACAAAGTCAGGATTAGGTGCGAGTGAGAGAAGCAGGGCAGAGTGGAGCCCAGCCCTGCCTGCCTGCTCTGCACAAGGCCGGCACTGTCACTACAGTGCCCTTCTAGCATAGGCTAGCTTTGGCCTCTTGGTTTCCTTTCTCACCTCCCAGGTCATCCCCTGCTCACCATCTGTGCTGAAGCAGAATTTCCCCTGCAGAATCCTCTTTGGGGGAAGAGCCATTTATGACCAAGTATGTACTTCTTGACACAGGAAACATGGGTCAGGTGGCAGCTCCATGGGCGTGGTCTATCCACTGGTCAGCTGACCAGCAGGGAGTCAGCCTCCTGTTCCTGACAGTGACTTCTAGTGGGGGCAAAAAGGGGGTCCTCCTGCATTGGGTGAGGCAGGGACTGCATATGAAGCCTCTGTATGCAGTCCCCAGATCGTCTGTCATCTGCCCTGGGAGATACCGCTTCACACTGGCCGGGGGTCACACGTGTGCCAGTTTAATCTTTTCTTGGTGAAACAGGGCAAGTGGGGTGAGAGCAGGCTCCATTCACCACGCTCTGCTAATTGCAGCCATTAAATGAGTTCTGTGTTGTGGAGACAATGGACACTGAACGTTCCATTTTCCTCACCACTCAGGCGGGAGAAGACCTGGAAATCACACAAAGACGTGAGCCAGCAAAGGCAATACCAATTATTTCAAAAAGTCCACTAGGAAAAGTCTTAGAAATGCAAGTCAGTGGACAGAGAACAAAACAATTCATATGCTAAAAAAAATCGGATGGAAACCCATAATTACTTTAGGAGTTATGGTAATAAATTATTTATTAATGTAAATTATTTCACAGGCAGAGAACATAGAGGAAACTTGAGCAGAAGGATCATACATTATGTATAAAAAGGAATTGTAAAAATATTATAGCAGCACTCCTTGTGCCTGCCGCTCCAGTTCAGGTTTGTCAGCATTTTAATTATAAGCCCTTACTTTCAGTGTTTAATTACTTGGCTGTTAAAGTCTGCTCTGTACATAAAAGGCTTGTTCCCGGGGGCACTCTCTGGATGGATTTCTACAGGGAAACACATGGCTGTGTTGAGCATTGTAGGACTAAAAGATGTTGCTTTCAAACTTGGTAGCTTTTGGTTTTTTAGCTCAGCCACTATTTTCCACTAAAGATGGACCATGATTATACCTTATATGAAGAAGCTGGCATTCAGGGGCTGAGTGTCTTCTGTTTCTCAGAGCAATCAACCAAATGAATGAAACAAAAACAGCAATAACAAAATCAGAGCTGTGGAGGCTTAGATTTTGGTCTTTGCTATATTTTCTGTCTGTCAGAGATAGCCATTTTGAATGTGATCATTGGGCCGAGCCTCCTAGAAGAAACTGCTTATTAACTAACGTAGCTAGCGTGAGATTGGTTTTCAGTGAAAAATTTACATCCGTGCGGCGGCTCACGCCTGTAATCCTAGCTACTCAGGAGACAGAGATCAGGAGAATGGCCGTTCAAAGCCAGCTCAGGCAAACAGTTCTCAAGACTCTATCTCCAAAATCCCCAACACACACAGACACACACACACACACGGCTGGCAGAGTGGCTCAAGTGGTAGAGCGCCTGCCTAGCAAGTGTGAGGCCCTGAGTTCAAACCCCAGTACCACCAAAAAAAATTATACCCATATACAAGTACATGCATGCGTATGTATGACTTTTTAAAAAAAAGTTATTGTTTTAAATTTGCCACTATTGTGGTTATATGTGTGATTTTTATTTATTTATTTTTTTTATGGGACTGGGGTTTGAACTCGGGGGTTTTACACTTGCAGAGCAGGTGCTCTACTCCTTGAGCCGCACCTCCAACCCTATATGTGTGATTTTCAAACCTCGAAAATAGTTCACGAGCCTCCTATCCAGGGTGTTGTACCACTTACTGGTGTCAGACAGTGTTTCTGGAATAAAGTTCAGACTG